TATTTAAAAATATTAACTTCTAATTTTTTTTTCAAAAATTAATTGAATGGTGAGAATTAATATTTTTAAAAAGTCTACACTGATGAAAGACTTGATTGACTCTTGGTCATAGTACTATGATCCAAGTGTTCATCAATGTCATCATGTTCAAATTGTAAAATGATTTCTTTAACGACTTGATCGAGTCTTGGTTATGGTATTATGATCCAAGTTTTCATCAATGTCCTTGTACTCAAATTGTAAAGTGGCTTCTTTTTTTTTTTTTTTTCAACTAATATTAACTATACCATGTTTGCGATGGATGATGTTACATATGAACTACTATTGTGATTAGAATGTGATTTATGTATCAATGCTTTATATTAATTTTCAATTTCATTAGAACTTTGTGAGAAATGAATAGATGAGATTCATGGTATATTGTCCCAAGAAAAATTAATGGGATAAAATTTACTAATAAGTGTAGTAGTCACTTAAGTAATAAAATAATAAAGTAATATATAAGAAAAGTATCAAATCTACAAAAATTATAATTAATTAAGTACAAAAAATAAGTAATTTTAAAATTATTTAAACAAATAAAAAGAGAAAATTTTTTAATTAAAACTAATTAAAAAATAACAATTTAAAATAAAATTTACCAATGTATGATATGCTAAACCATTTCACCATAAACAATCAATATAGGTTTTAAATTTTTATACTTTAAAGATAATTACCACTCATATAACAATAGAATTTACTATTATTTTTAATATCCTCTCTGATGAAAGCTCACTAAGGATATATTAATAATATAAATATTACAATTTATTGATAATTTGCTATATTAATTTGCTATATAGGCATTACATAAAACCAAAATTCTGCTACTATCTCATTCATGGATTGCTATTTTATCTAAAAATTGGTCCTTACTTTAAAATTTCTTCAACTCATATTAAAGATTGACACAAGTATCATATTTATTGTAAGTCAATTTTAATATTTATTACTGTGAGAATTAAAATAGTGATAGTAAAGAGAATAGATTAATAAAAAATTTAAATAGGATCTATTCATCTATAATCTATAATCTAAAACAATGAAAATTAAATAACAAAATTAAAGTTTGCAAGTTGACCCTTAAATGAATATGGTTTATTAATTTTATATTATAACATGTAAAGTTAAAAAGTAAAACTAATTTGCAAAGTAGAAGTGAGGAAGCAATTGAAATGATTGTGATGAGTTTACCATTCAGTGCTAGACCTCAATTGCAATAATTTTTTTTTTGTAAAAATGTAATTGAGAAATTGACAAAGCCTAAAAAGAGTAAAAAAAAAAAACTTTAGGTAATCTCTTTTATAGTTTAATTTTTATTATGATGTTCTCTACGGTCATAGATAATTATTTGATAACATTATTACCAAATGGATAAAATATATTCTTTTGATTAATAAAAAATTGGAGTGAAAAACTAAGATTAATTATAACTTTTAGAAATAAATCAAGAACCATACATGATTGGATTATCATGTTAAAATGCTAGAAGTATTATAGCATACAAAATGTAAATTCCAACATCACATATGAGATAGAAACCAAAAATCATATTAGTCCTTTAAATACTCATCCTTCTAAAGCATTGAACCAAAGAAGTTTGAATAACATAATTTTAGAATAGTCTTGAAAGTTTTTGGTATTCATCTTCGTGAAGATGAAATCTCCTTCATAACAGTCTAATTTTTCCAAATAAGCTTGATATTACAAACTACCATATCCTTCACCCAGCCATACTTCATATGCCTGAGGGCAAAAATTAATTATAAATATTAAAAGAGGGCACAGGAAGATTAAAATGACCAAATGCAAAAAAATTAAAATATTAGCTATGCTCATCATGCCTGCTCACTCAGCGAATATTAGCTGTGCTCACCATGCCTAGGCTACTGAAAGAAACTTGTCCTCCAAAAATACTTGCAAATTCTTTAACTTAAAAAACCAACAGCTTCTCCATCAAATTTGAGAAGAAATGCCAACATGATCAACTCAGAAAGTGAATTTGTTCTCTCCCTATCCCAACGTATCATTTGGCTAAACAGTATTTGCAGAAATTCTAGCAAAACTTTAAATCTGTTTAGGGAGCCTACAAAAATTGAAAGGAAAAAGAGGAGGCAAAAACACATCAATATATAATGAATGCAAAAAAAAAAAAAAAACCAACAACAACGACAACAAGAGGC